GGAGTACCGGTGAGAGCCCGGGGCACACACACACCCCCCCACACACACAATCAGTTAGATGTTTGTTTGGTTTCCTGTTGTTGTCTGTTCTCCCTGATCTTGTTCTAAGTATTTTCTCTTACCCGACTGAGCACCCTTAAGTAGTGCCAAACAGTCGGTGGTTCCTCGTTTGGAGTCCCTACTGCACTCTTATGGGGGCCGCTCGCTTCGGGATGTCTGTGTTGCCTGTAGGTGATGACGGATGTTTGTCGGAGTGACTCCCTGGCTTAGTGGGTGGTGGGAACCAACAGTCTGCGGGGTTCAAGCATGATGTGAGTAGGTCATGTGCTGCTTTGCTCCCTGTTGGATGTGTGTACGTCCTCGTCAGTGCTCTGCCGCTGCCCTGCTGCCTGTCCCGCTTGCTTCGCATGTGGCTCTCTGCGAATTGCTGTGTTCGCTGCGTGGTGTGGCCATGTTGTTGGTGTTGCCTTGCACTTCGCTGCTTCGCTGCCGTGCTGCTCATCCGCTGGCCGTACCTTCCGTGTTCACCGCTTGTGTGCCTTGTAGGTTGGTTGCCTTGTTGCTGGTACCTTGTGCTCCACTCCACCATTGTCGAGCTGCTGGTCCGCTCACCCTATCGTCCCCTGCAGTGTTGTTGCCTTGCTTGTGTTGTCTTGTGTTTCACTACATGGTTGCCGCGCTGCATGTTCTGCGTGCCATGTCGTTCCTTGCAGTCGTTTTTGGCGTTGTGCAGCCGTGTTGCCTCTACTGTGTTGCCTGGTGCTTCACAGGGTTATTGTACGCTGCTATGTTACTCTTGGGGACAGTCTGTCTTCAACAAGGGTCAGAGGGTTCATGACGTAAACCATCAAATACGGGGATTCCGCAGATTGTTGAGGGTTCAGCCTCCTGATGAGTCGGTGCAACTTCGACGAAACAATCATCATCAGCTTTTATTTTATTTTTTTCGGTTGTTGTTTTTGTCTTCTTGTTGTTTGACTTGCTCTCGTTCCCCTGCTGCCTTACTGTTTGCCTGCCCATCTGCCTACTCTATGCCTTTCACCAGGTTTGCGGTGTTGCCTTGAGCTGTTTGTCAGCCCATGCCATTCAACCGAGTATGTGCCTTGCTGCCTTGCACTGTTTGTCTGTCCATCCACCTTCCCCATGCCCTCGAGCCTATGTCTTTTGCTGCACTGTCTTTCGCGCCTCAATGTTTTGTGCTGTTTGTTTGCCCACCCACCCCTCCCCCGTGCCCTCCAGCCTATGTCCTTTATTGTTTGTCTGTTCTGTTCAGCTGTCAACGTTCGGGTCCACTATCATAATGGGGGTTATGTGAGAATTGTCTTGGAGTTGTTGAGTGCATGGGTCTCTCCTTGGGGGTTGCCAGGCGGAGTACACTCGTTGTGTACTGGAGCTACATCAGAGTGTGTGTACACACACAGCGCCACACACACACACACACACATGCACCATTTTTTTTCACTTTTTTTTTTCTTCAATTTATCGATTGATCGACTGATTGGTGGGAGGGGGGTCGCCCCCCCTCCAGTCTCCCTTCCGACAATCAAATTGGGGGTAGGGTATCACGCATCACACTGATCACACACATCATCACAGTATAATTGTATTCATCTGAATTCATCAGAAGATTCAGGCACAGGATCTGTTTCGTAACAATTAGATAATTTTGCTTGTCATTCAGCCAAAAATGGGATTTTCCCCAAATTGTGACTATCTAGACTGTTCGGGATTCTCCCCAAATTGTGCGCTAGATTCCGACAAAAATCACACCCGGTCGCCACTAAGGGCATAGTACTCAAACTATGACGTTTTCACATTTGTATGTGGATGTAAATAGGGTCAGGTGCAGACAACGGGGGTCCGAAAAGCCGTCATATACATCAAGGAAAGTCCTATTGTGAGTATGCCCTTAGAGAAGGGAGGGGGAGGGAGGGGTAAGGGGGGGAGGTAGGGAGCGAAAAGAGAGGATGCAATGAAACCCATTCGGTCGATCCTCCACTTGGTGACCAGTTAAGAACTGACGGAAAAAGGAAAATAAAAGTCAAAAAAAAAAAAAAAACTCAGATTGTGAAACGGAAGCATGCTACACACGGAGATTCAGGGCATACTCACACTCGGACTTTCATGTTTGAATCTGGCCGTGAAAGTGGACAGATGCAGTCCAGAAAACTTTTTGAAGGTCGATCCTCCACGCTTGCTTTAGTCAACGGTCAAGAAAACTGACTGACAAAGTTTTTAACAAACTCAGATTACGAAACGGAAAGCACGCTACAAACGGCGAATTAGGGCATAATCACACTTGGATAGTCTGAATCTGGCCGTGAAAGTAGACAGGTGCAGTCCGAAAAAGACGCTCTAAAGATCGATCCTCCACCCTTGCTTGGTCAACGGTCGAAAAACGGATAGCGAAACGAAAACAAAGTCTAAACCACGGGCCGGATTTACACCGACCCTGCCCGCGTCCCTACCGGTAGCGTCTTCTCCACCAACAGAACACAGTACCGTAATTATCACTGTATCTGACCTAAAAGTTGCCCCAAATACAGCTGCAATGACCGTGCGTTCTATTCGGGGGAAAAGCCTCGGAATGGCGCTAGGCCTGCTGCGGACTGGTGGTTTGACTGTTTTTCAACCCCCCACCCAGCTGGATTGATGAGCACCCTTTTTTGTCTCTTTCTTTCTTTTTTTTTTCTTTTTTTTCTTTTTCTTTTGGGGACTTTCTTTCTTTTTCGCGCAGCGGCTATTCTAATCTTCTCCGTATCATTCCAATGGGACATCTCTTTTTTTTTTTTTTTTTTTTTTTTTTTTYTTYTTYTTTTTYTTTTTYTTAAGGGACATCTCGAAGGACATGAGCACACATTTTTTTTACACCGACAGCGAATCACCGTTATAATCACCAGAATCACCAGAATCACCGAATCACCGTTGGATATCTGTGACAGACAAGAGGTCGATCACAGATATCCAACCGGCAGATTCCGTACCGTACGTTTCTGGCTGTTGAATCCTTGTGATCGATCTACGGTCAGAGTCTGCGCAAGCGGGGGCTCAAGCGTAAAACGACAAGCACACAACAACCAAATTGCCAATCCGTCCATCGCCGCCTCCTCCTGCTCCCTCCTCCTCTTGCTCTGGAAAAGGATAAAAGGGAACCAATAACTAAGAAAACGGAAAATCCAGATCCGTCTCTCTGTGTATGTTTGTGTATGTTTGTGTGTGTGTGTGTGTGTGTGTGTGTGTGTGTGTGTGTGTGTGTGTGTGAGAGAGAGAGAGAGAGAGAGAGAGAGAGAGAGAGAGAGAGAGGGATAAGTGCAAGGACTACTGGTATCGACTGCATGTAGTGTCGAGTCTGGTGTAGAGGTGACATCGTCGACGGTCCACAAAACTCCACGGTCGAGGGAGCTCTGGAGAATCTGTGGAGATTGGAGATGGATGCGCAAGAAGGCTTTTCCAGTGTTCAAAGTTTCCAGTGTTTAAAGTGCAACTTGCTTGTTGATTGTTCTCGTCCATGACTCCATGGCGTCTCGTTTCTGGAAAAAAGAAAAGAAAAGGAAGAGGAAAAGAAGTTAGCCGCCAACCTGAGGAGGGGATCCGGCC